AGGGCGAAAGGTTTTCAGTTGGTGCTTGGATCAACCAACATTCTAGATTTACCAATATAAATGTAAAAAAACATTGGCTCCACTGTCTTACTGATGGCGAAGTCCCCAATTTCAATTTTGTGAGCTCTGCGTTCAGTGCCTCGCACGAGTGGTAAGGGATACACGTACTGTACCTTTTGTTTCTTTTTTGTTTAAGAAAAACTTTTTTATTCTTCCTCTGACTTGAAGACCCTTATTTGTTTCGTATTTTTGAGACCATAGAACATATTTTTTCCCATCCTCTTAAAGGTTTCTTTAAAAAAATCCCAACACTAACGTATAGAAAAATACTCATCTAATGATCTGCATCATGTACATCAAGCATGTAAGAACAGAACCATACCACGTGTCTACAGTCTGTGCACGGTACATCACAACCCACAAAAAGCACCAGCTTTATAGCTCTGCTCACCAAATTGAGCAAAGAATCTCTATTTACCAAAGCAGAGAATTCTATGCTAGCAGCAATCATACATGTACAGTTAGAGTACACAAATGCATATTTCATACATGTAGGTTAGCAAGGAATTGGGGTTTTGCACATGCATAAAACCTTACCCTATGGTTTACAGGGTTCGCAAACAATTCCTGTGCTAGTGGCTGCAAGCACAGATTGACGGTCAGATGCATAGAATTTTGAGGTTAATAGGGCTAAATACAAAAAAATACAAAATTGGTAAACATGGAAAAAGTCAAGCAAAAAAGTAGGATCACTGCTCGAAATCCAACTTGGGCAAGCATTGTACTGGTGCACTGTACATGTACATTGTACTTACAGTTTACACATTTTTGTGTAGGAAGATGAAAATCCTCCAAAAGAATTTCAACATGAATCTATTAGCCAATGAGAGTGTCAGACAGAGAGGGTTAAAGCCTCAGCATTATCTACACAAGAACTTGAAGAAAAATATCAACAGAATGTGACATGTGCTTAAATGGGGGTATTTATACATGTAATGCATGTACAAAATTCTGTGGGGTGACAAAGCAGAAGGTCAGTGTGATCAAAACGTACTGAGCTAAATGGCCATGCCAAATCCCTGAACACATCCACTTATTTAGTGCCTTATATGCATTAATGATAAAAGTTCAACCTTGAGAATACATACTTGTACCGGTATGTATTCTGGTGATGCACGTACATGTATGTATGCATGTACATGTACACGTACACTTGCATGCGATGACCAAGTATGACAAAGAGATACCGTATGTACATGTACATGTACTTCATGGAAGAAGGCCCCTCTGGTACACACATGGGAACGTATCCAAATATTGTTTTCAATGGAATCCGTTGTCAAACTCGAGTTTCTAGGAGTGGAACTCCTACCGGTTACATGTAACTGATCACCTCTGTAATGACTTTTGAAATCATTTGGTGTCTTGGAATAAAACCTGCAGACGAGTTGTTACTGGAAGTATCTGTAATGTGTAACATGCACCCTGTAGGCTGTTACAAGTACATGTACGTGTTATCAGTACACCAGAACAGCTTTGAAAAGCTTTTGTTGGTTCTATCTAACTTGATGATTGGTCTCAAACTCACAAACTGACCAAACTCACAAGGGATGTATCCATGCGCACTGTGGCGGAAATCCGCAGCCCCAGTTTCAACTTCAGCTTCGGCACTGCAAACAAATTTTAAAAACCTCCTAGCATTTCACAATCCCCTCCTGGGATGAAACAGCGGTAAAGATTACAGGTTTAATATGCAAGTTTCTTAATCCCTGGATTAAAACAGTTAAGAGGATTAACAGGGCTCTGCCTATTCTCAACTGAAGTCCCCTTGTGCTCCCTCCGTCCTCTGCCCCAGCCCTTTATCTTCTAATCTGGCTACAACCTTGTCCTTGCACTTTTCCTGGGTCCCTTTTTTTATGTTATATAAAAAGCGGTTTCTTTTCAGTAACAACTGCTGCTGTTACTCAAGGGGGTTTAAGGCAGAAATTACTGCTGGCGCCACAGTCCTGTACAGAGTGGAACCCAACAAAATATATCACAGTCAGCTCAGTGCAACTCAATAGGGCCATTATCACATACTGCCTCTCTCATCAGCATCAGCTGGTTGTTTCTGGAGGGTGCAATTGTTTTTGTTTCCTTTCTTTTTGCTTCAATTTAGCACACTCAGAAGTGAAAGCTACCAATACCTACATGAATCAAACAACTGCCTGGATGCATTTTTATCCCATTCTCCTTAACCAAACAATTGGCACAAATGAAAAATGAAAAGTGCAGATTGTGGCAGACCACCTTTTATTTCCGATTTTTTTTTTCAGCACAACTGCCGAAGCCATAAAACATTTTCCATGATGGAACATTTCCTAACGTACCCGTACTTGTACTGCTGGATTCTGTTGCATTCAGTGGGGAGCCAAAACAGTTTCACTGGGGACAAGGGTTAGCCATTTATTTCCCAAGATCCTTCAAGATCCACCAAGAGGCTTGGGGGGATTTCACAGGATTAAGGAAGACAGATCCAAGCCACAATTTCCTTAATACTTTTCTCCTTTTAGCACTTGAGGCTTAAGTCACTTAAATGCTACTGAACAAACTATGGTGCAAACAGTGAAGGAACCGAGCTGCAAAATGTACAGAGATGGGTTAATGTACTATGATTGATTTCAGAGCACTTAGATTTAGGGACAGAGTCTCATAGTCTATCAACATGCCTCAGGAATCTGAGTCAATGACTTGTCCAACTGCTCACTTTCTACACCGCACAGAATCAACGGTGATTCGTCTCCTTAGACCACCAGAAATGGAGGTTTTTGTGACTCATGATGACTGTCCATGCTGAGCAAGCTTAGGGTGTACAGTCTGGTGATTGGAATGGTATCATTGCTTTGGCTCAAATAAGCTCAAGGAGTTTTGATCTGGGAAAAATAAAGAGATTGGCAATGGCTGCAAGACGCTAAGGGCTTATAACTATTTCTCTGCGAATAATCTGTCTAACAAGCAACAACAATCAGACCAGATACTGGTACATACATGTACGGTTGAGGTACATGTACTGCACATGTAGGTACAGTGGGTTTGCACACGTAAATATTTTTGATTTTTTTCCTTTCTAAAGCAAAACTGTCTAAAAACAAAAAGTTTTGAAATCCAAAACTCAATCACAAGATGGAGTAGATTCTAAAATGGAATTCACAAGCCCTGCAATTGAAACACCCTACTTTTTTTAAATACTTGTATGTAAATTGAAAGAGAGATCCGATGTGCTCTGTTTGGTAGGCTGAAGCCTGTCTTCCAATCACTGAAACGTGATCCCTTGGTACACATGCATGCCCTGTCTTAAGATGCTAGTACTCAATAACATAATGCACTGTGCACCTTCCAGTGAATGACTCAATAATCAGACCAACGCACTTGATCACACTAACATTACATCGTAGCAGCGGTTTAACTACATGTATTTATTTTCTCACAAGGCTTTCCGAGGAAGCAAATAAGCAATAACGAAATGGTCTACCTGTATTGTCAGTCGCACGACAATTGGAAACATACATGTACATGTATGTGCTACAGTGTATGCAGAATTCAATTGTAAAGTATGGTGATCAAGCAAGCTAATTACACATATATGTAGACGTGCAACAAAGTGATACCCTGCATGCAACCATCAGTTTCAGAAGCCACTGTTTGTTCAGATACTAATTTTCATACATCGGTCAAATTTATATAAAACAGCTAGGCCCTCATTGATGCAAGATTCCTAAGACGTCTCTCTAAAATGGCAGATTCTGAGGAGCAAGTCGGGCCATTCCCCATCTCCTAGTTTTTTTGTGGGGGGGGGGATTTCTTAAACACCAAGGGAAATGGATGACCTCTTTGAAAAACGACCATGAAAATTTTGTTTCTTTTCCTCTCCCAAACTACAAAAAATTCCATAAACAATTTTGACTGGCACTTAAAAAACCACAAAAATTAAATCAACTGTAAGTTTTTGGCCCTACTACAAAAAACCCAATTTGGCCACTCACACCAGTCAAAATGCTTGATTCTGGATTCACCCTTGGGCGTACATGTACCTGTATGGAGATGCAGAAAATGTATGTACATGTAGGCCTAAAGTTTTTACTGTTAAGGCTGTAAGGATATTATTCAATTAAAGTCAAAGGGTACCTGCCAGGCCTCAACTTTTTTTTTAACTACATGTACTCGTCCATCGGGCAAGTCCGAGTAGCACTGAAAAGTTACTTGCCCAAGGTAAGATTTCACTTGCCCAAACCCTGGTTTAGTTGCTCATTGCTTCCCGGGATAATAAGTTCCTTCTTGACCACAATACAACATGAATATTTTGTACATATACGTCACCACCAACTACTACGTGTATGCAGAGAGTGCGCAGGACTCTGATGCATCATTCATGCAAGTTTGGGCAATGGCCATTTCTTAACCACTCAACAATTTTGCCTGGTGTTATATACCGGTATGAAAAAAGTATATACAAACAAGTACCAGGCAAAATTCACTGATGTTGAAATCAAAGCCACGTGTGAAACAGTCTTTGAGCTTCCGGCCATCATACATATAGCTCCACAGCGCTGCTCGTGCAGTAACAAGAGAGATTTGGTACCCAGACACAAGGGTATTTTACAGTTCATTTATGTACGCATTTTCCCTTTTGTGGAAACGTGCCCTCCTAAAAATGCACAGCATGCTCAATACACGCGAGTTTGTACATGTACGTAACAAAGCAAAAAAAATCAGTGTACACCACAAACAGGTGCATGTAGCTGCATACTTTCTACCACTTTTTATAAGCTTTTGTGAAGAGGGCAAAAACCAAATCAAAGGTAAATATGCTGACTGCTATTCTTGGCCACCAAAAATTGACACTTTCAAGAAAAAAATATCTTTCCATCAGGCAATTTGTCCTTAATTTTTGCTTGCCAAAAAGAAGAAATTACTTGTCCAGGGCAATCAGACAACCGCCAGTGTCGAGGCCTGGTACCTACCATGTTTGGCTTCGTGAGTAATCTTTTCTTTCACAGCAGTCTTGGCCGGTGGTGGTGTGCCCACCAAATCAACAGCCTCTCGGCAGGGCTGGGGGCTGGCCTGCTTACGCTTGCGCGATGCAGAAACCACTGAGGTCCTGGCAGCTGGGGCCTGACACTGGCCGGACACCGAGGGCAACTTCTGGTCCTCTGGAGCAGGTGGAATGGCAATGACATCTTGGCAAGTGTCTGACGTCGAGGGGTCTTCTGGGAAGGAGGCAGCCGGCCCAACTGTCTCTTGCTGAGAATCAAAACAATGAAAACCACAGAGTCATTTGCAAACCCTCTGAAATGGCAGAGATCAAGTTGTCACTGTTTTCATAAAGGGACAGGTACATCAAAACTTGAAAGTTCAAGGATTGTGAGTCAAAAACATTGATTTTAGCCATTTTAGCATGCTCCAGAAAGTTGAATAGCACAAATTACACATTCTTCTTGAGGTTTTAAAATAAGACAAATTTCTCTTTCAATTATTTCAAACTCATATTACTTGTCATAATGGACATGCCCATTCCTTAAGGGCAGTGTATAAGATTTGCAAGATCTGAAAAATGAGACTGTTGAATTATCTTGGAACATCTTACTGTAGAGTAAGTACATAATAGTGTCAGACACTCTGTGAAAGCTACACACCAGGAATGCTGTCATATTCCAGAAAAGAGAAAATTTATGTTTTCTCCAAAGATCGTATGGACGGACAATCTTTGGAAAATACAAGTCGTTCAAATACCGCAACCGTTAACGGGCTGTTGGAAGAGTCTGTATGAACAGGTAATATACAAACTGCCAACGCACTTTCAGTAACCCTAAACTCATTCTTAATGAATGAAATACACGTACAACTGTCAATGATAGTCTAACAGAGAAATTGGACAGGTTTAAAATTAAAGTTTTTCAATGAAACTTGGGAAGTTTACTTAAAGTGAATACATCATCTCACTAACTATCACCCCTTAAGATAATGATATGGTCCAATGGCCATTCCCTCAGAGCTGCGTACCGAAGCCTGGTTTTCTTGAACAAAAGGACATTTAACTTTCTGTTGTTCTAAAACAGCAACTCTCGTGCCCAAAATGCAAGGATACATGAAGTTGTTTATCCAAGGGCCGAAAGTGTTCATGATGGGCACGAACAGTGTGTGGACGGTTTTTGATTGACGTACATGTGCATACATATACATGTACGTGTGGACAGAGAACAATGACTTCATGGTCAAACATGCACATGTACTCAGACATGTGGTCGCGCAGTTACTGTGGTGACTGCAGTCACTTCAATGCAGTGCCCGATGAAACATTGTTTATTTGACAAATTCTCAGTGTTGCATTGTTGAAAAAGAAACACAAACTTGAAGGTAAATTTGCCAACCACTAGTACTACGCGAAGCCATGGAAAAATCCATTTTTCGTCGGTCTGTAGACCTGCACCGTACAGGCACTCAGAAACGTCCTGTGGCCCATGGATTTTTGGGAGACTACTTATACGAGCTGCACTTCAAGGGTTAAAAATGAATAGCATTTTTCTCGCTTTTTCTCAAAGCAGTGATCTCAAAAAGTGAAACAATACGTACATGTAGTTCATGGCATGATACACAAAGTAAATCACTAACCCCCACATCGGCCAGTTTTGACAAATTGCAGTAAATGCAAATCCTACACACATGTACATGTACCTCTACTGAAAATGATGATTAACTGTTTGAAAAAAGTGTAGCTGATTAGGATGCTTTGTGTCAAGGGCTTAGGTTAGACCTTGTTTTGTTTAAGCTCTGCCATGCAAAAATATGTACCTAGATTACACAAAACTCATTCATACATGTACATGTAGAACTCCAAGATCCCATTTGCACTGCCTCAACAAAACACAAAGTGCCAGGGGATTTCAACAACTGATGCAGTGGTCACTTTTGCGAGGAATGTATTCGAACAATAATAGAGGATTTTGCAGAATACGGCCTTTTCACAATAGTGCATCACCAAGAGTTGGCAACGCGTTGGCCAATCGCAATGCGTGGAATTTGTCGACCCATTGCGCATTTGGAAAGGGTCAACAAATTTCGCGCGTTCTGATTGACCAATGCGTTGCAAACTCTTGGTGACGCACTATTGTGAATCGCTCGTATTGAGACTGAATCCAATTTTTTCTGTGGAGGCAGTTGGAGGATTTGAGCACTGAGGATGTTTCCAAGGCAAAAGATCCTGGGGGAAGGGTTCAGGACTCTCATTTTCTATGGTTCCTTTATGCACTATACTGTAGATGTACAAATACACAGACATAAATAATCTAACACAAATAATGTGAACACTGTTTTGAATTAATTTTAGTAACTTCATAACAAACGGTTCGTATGCACTTGGTAGCAAAAGATTTCCCTATTTAATCTGGAAATACAGGAAGACTGACATCAATGTACAGTGTAATAATGTGCTATTCTACAGTTCTCCTACACAGCAGGTTACTCTCAGACAAAACACCATTTGATCAGTGCATCATCATCTGATCGTGCTGCTAGCTAGAGACGCTGGATTAAACCATGACTTCTTCCAAGGTTCTTACTCTGCTAAACTGTCCACAAACCTCTCGCATACTAGTCAATAGCCTGTCAGACAACATACATGTAGGTTAACCTGCCCTGATCCAGTGCATACATTGCACATACAGGTACAGTACATGTACATGTCATGCATGTAGGACTAACTATAAACTTAGTGTTCCATCCAAAGGATTTTTTTACCCTAATATGATGGTCAATAATGCCCTAGACTAGTGAGCATCAATCTTACCAAGCAACAAATCCAATTAGTGATGAGGTGGTATAGTTTACAATGTACAGGTACATGTACCACCCAAGTTACACTACAACTTCAACCCTGCAATTTAAATGCATTCTTTGTGTGCATATGGCATTGGTACATGTACATGTATTAGCGACCATCTGGTACTAGTATGTGCATGTACGTGTATGGTAAAAAAAACAGGCACACAATACTAATAAAGCAAAAACAAATCACTGAACTTATCATGTACATAAAAATAAGCAAACTTGTCATTACAAAAGACAGGGGTACCGGTACACTGAGCTGAGTTGACTGCACAGTGTGAACAATATTTTACAGTCACTTCACCAAAAAATGCATACCACTTCTCCCACAACCACGTTTGCCATTTCACACACGTGCCACTTCGCCATTTGCCACTTTGCCCATTTACATGTACATGTACCACCTCGTCCATTTACCACTTCGCCCATGTGCCAAATCCCCTATGCACCCACACAAGTTTTCGCATGGAAATAATGCACACCCTACTTTCGCTAGCAAGTAGCCTGTGATTAACCAACAAATCTCTGCATCTTTTAACAGGTTTATTTTGAGCAACATTCTGGATACAATCATCAAAACATCAAGACCCAGACACAATAAAAGAATGCAAAATGCTTTCTGTTACAATGCTCAGACGTTTGGCAATTTAAGCGTGTACTGAGACCTCATGAAATACAGAAAATACCCGGATTTTCTATGTATGACGACGACTCTAATTCTGTGAACTACGGTAACTTATATTTCTTAATTTTTTTATCATTTCAAGTCACTTTCAAGTTGTCAATATTTGGAGTGTACTTATGTCATCCTGGGAGTCACTTAGGCTTCTAACTACCGGTATTCCATGCGTTTCTTGCTATGGGCGCTGTGCCCACTTTTAGCTTGGCATCAGCTTTACATAACAAAACTTTTCATAGTCTCAAATTCACTATATCCTAGTTTTTGTATTTGATCTCTTATCTTTGCTAGCAGCCAGAATGAATTAAGGAGGGATTGGGTTAGTAACTTTTCTGTGGATGAAGTGGCATGTGGGCAAAGTGGCAAATGGGCAAAGTGGCTAATGGGCTAAGTTACCAACACAGTGAAGGATGGTGTTTAACTGTTAATGAGCCACAATTCTACAAAATTTGTAACACTGTGTTGCAATAAGCAGGATTCCATTTAACAGGAGCTTAAAGAATTAAAACCACTCTTCCCAGATTCATACACATCTACTAACAACATTCCTTGAAAATATTTCTACATGTACTTCTGTTGCACCAATAAGCAGCACAAGGCATAGGAAATGGACCAGTCAGCAACAAATAGACCTAAGACATTGGTTCCCTATTTTTAAAAACCTTGAAATTTATTAATACATCCAAGAAAAAAATCTTTACAAAATGAATGCAGGTTTTGATTCAAAAATAAATACGAAAAAAAGAATGAAAATGGATATGGCTTGAATCCACTACTGGCACTAGTTATGTCAGGGGACTCGAATTGGAATATTAAAGTAGCATCAAAGCAACTCTATGGTTTCGTGGAATTCAAAACGTACTAGTTCTAGTACATGCTCACCATATATATCGGTGTTCAGCACAATCTTTAAAAGTGCGCAAATTTCAAATTTGCGAAATTTTCCTTGAGCAATTTTTAAGAGGTTGCACATATTATAAATCTGCACAGACAACATCGAGCGCAACCTTTGAACGTGCACAATTTTTGTGTCTCAAACTGAGCAATTTTTAAAGGGAGTCATGATGGTTGGCGTCTGACCTGACCTGGCAGTGGCCAGCAGTGCGGGGATTTCCATTCCCTGCTTCAAAGGCTAGTCTCCAGCCATCTGGCACCAGTCAAGCTGGGAAACTGTTGCCTTGAGTAAAGGCTAGGATTCCAGTACAAACTAGTAGTTTAGGGGGTCATTTCAAAATCCTTATTTTCCCTGATTGTTATTTTGTCTGCAATTCTACTTTCATTTTTATTGCAAATATATTTCTAATAAATACCGGTACCTGTACAGCTCTAAGAAATTAGAATTTTCTGAATTAAAAGCCAACAGGGAAGATTAATAGTTTTCATGAGTTTGAGGAATTTCTTTCAGAAGGAAGAAAAGTCTGAATTAAATGTCGACAGGTGAATCTAATTGCACTCACATGGCATATTCATCAAAATGCTTGAACGGCAAAATTTCTCGCTGACGAGAAACGTGACATACTGTGCAGTGGCCCCATAATTACACATACCACACTGTACATGCAGCTTACACATGTCATACGCGAAACAGACCCGACAAAATCATGCATAACGATTGTAACCATACAATTTTTATCGCAGTGCACAATTTTTATGGCAATATCTGTGGTTGCACAAAAATCAAAAGTTGCACACGCAAATTTTAAATTTGCACACTTTCAGCATGTTCAAAGATTGCTCTCAACACTGGCATCTATAGAATTAAGAAATTGTATTACAGTTGCTTTAATTGTATCCACTATGCTTGTTTCTAACTCTCTCCACTTTGAACAACAGTACCATACATCATTCTTCACATGCACAGGATGAATTTAATCATAACATGTTTTATCATGTAGGGCCTACATGAGCATGTATAACAAATTCTTCAATTATCATGAAATTGATGCAGTTGAGTGCGCAGTGCCAATATTATATCGTGAAATTCATAAAACACAGTTTAAGTCAGCTAAGTTGTCCCCACACTCCCCAAACAAATAACATCCTTGTCCAAAATGACATTACCACATGATCAAAGCACTCCCAAAACCCCATACCAAACCATGGCGAAAGCAAAACTCACCGTAGGCCTACACGTACATTTTCAGCATCCCTATTTTTGTCAACAGTCAAGCTTTTTTCCCCCCGAAATAAATGGGCATTTAGACTTTGGCGTTCAATCATAAAATGACGATAACTAGCACAAAATGTAGGTTATTTATAAAGTCCATTGTCATATTGAAGACAAAGCCACAACCGCGATCAACGACCCTCGTGAATTTTTTTTTACTAGAAGTGGGGAGGCCTAAACTAAAAGGTTGTACACAATGCGGTTGTTCATTGTGTGTGCGCGGCACACAGATCCAACTGCACAAAAGCCGTGTTCATTCATGCATTCAAACACAAGCATTTCCTTCGGAATTCAAATTAGGGTCAACTTTTCCAGCCTAAAATTCACTTTTCTTTCCATCTCTTTGCAACCAGATTTTACAAGTAAGACAATGCATCATTCCTTTACTGACTGCAGGAGGTTGAACGGAAATTTTAGACGGATTAAGAGTGAAAATATTTCGTTTTTTCGAGGGCTTACCTGATTTCGCCTGAAGCTGGTTTCTGCGTTGGCTGCAACCCAAGCCTCAGCTAGATCCTGCATGCTGCCATGTACTGATGCTGCTTGCTCCTGCAGATCCATGACCTGAGCCGATTAGGCATCAAAACAAGACCCGTTTCCACCTCAGAAACGGTCCGAAAATGTCCGCAAAATTCCAGTTCAGACGGGAAAACTGCTACCATATGATTCATCCGGGCAGCAGTGTCGAAAACGAAGATGTGCAGCGTGAATTCCAGCGTGAGATTTAGACATCTGTGCGGCTTTGTGCGACACTCGGTCGGCTCAGCGGAAAGGGATTATGGATTAACGCACTGGACTCGCCTTGTATTCATCCGCGTACAAAATAGAACTACCTTCTTAATTGATTATTTAATCACAAGACATTGAATTATTAGCCATTGTTTCGTACAAGGTGGACACTACTAACTGTAAAGGAATACAAGACTGCAGTATGCTTTCAGCAGACAATTTAAAAGACTTAAATGAAATGCGTATGGATACTAGATGAGGGAATCATGTGCGTGCAGATGGGATTAGTGATAAATCCATGAGCAAGTTGTCACGCGACAACAATAATACCATCAAAAATACATGGCAAACACGCCGCCAGTAATATCTACATTAATACAATCCATTATTGAGTAAGGGCAGAGATAAATATCTTAATATTACGCCGAGTCCCATGCCTACTCTGTCCACCAGCATCACAGCCGACAGGTTCAGTACCGAAGGTCGACTTTATCTGTGGTAGTTTCCGTTAAAGACAGATTACATTATGCTATAGTGTAGTATATGTATTGTGTTCGGGTGGCTGAGCGTCAACAATGTCAACACCCTGATTAAAGGGACACCACAAAGATTAAAATTTCGTGTCAATCTGCAATTACATCAGTAGCTTTCACAATTACAAATGGTGACAAATGATTTGTTTCCAGCCCTTTCTTCTGGAGTAGAAGTCAAATTATAAAACATGTACATTTAGGCCTGTATAAAATGTTTAATGTTGTGTAAAAAACCAAGTGACATTTTTCCTATAACATCATTTAGAGATTGCACACAAACATATCTGTTCCTAAATCATTCAAGGTAATGTAAAATTTCAATTAAGCAATTTTAAAATAACCAAACAGTAAAAGAGATTTTATTTACAAACCAGTTTCCGACCTCCGCCGTCGTCAACACTGTTTCATCCCCGAGAGGAGGTGAGGTATGGTATCTTCATTTTTATAAATTATTCCCTGAAGAAATTAATCTAGAGAATCAAAGATATGGACCATCCACATAACTCGACAAGTCTTACTTGTTATAAATTTATGAATTTTAATAATGTTGGGTGCTGTCGTATGTTTGTCTGGTTGTTTTCTTGTTGCAGGATATACTTTCACTATTTTGGTGTAATTTTCATAACGTTTTTTGTTTTTTCTTTTGTTCTTTTTTTGTTGTTAGATCACTTTTGAAATATTCTTCGGCATGTATAGTTCATTTGTCCTTTTAAAAAATTAATTGAAGCATGTGCATAAGATGTTTGTTATTCCTTATTCAATGTCATTCTTTTTTTTTCGATGGGCCGGGGGCAGGTATTTTTCATTTCACCCGCACGCGAAAGACTAAAGCCTCATCGATAACAGAAAGCATAACCAGCAGCGAGCGCTGGTGTAAGCCGTCTACAACGAGTCCCAAACACGACTATTAGGAAGACACGCTTTGGTATCTACCCCTTACTTTTCAGTTTGTCTTTGAACTCCCATTATATGTTTTCACTTAAACAAAACGAAACCCTCGGTCATTACTTCTCTCTTTAAACTTAATGGCTGTTTCTCAGGCATGCATGGCATACGTAAATAATTGATGGGCTTTTTTAACCACTGGTATACTTTCCATCTCCGAATGGATAAAACAGGCAGCATTCACACTAACTTTAATTTGGTGAGCAGAAACAAATATACGATATTTTATTCTGAAGTTTTAAAAGGTCGTTTCAGTCTTCTCTCCCACATTTTGTTACAGGTACTGCAGGAAATTGTGCTCAATTACAAACACTTAAATAACTAGCCTAATTGTGTTTAACCAGTACTGGTGCATCAGCAAAAGCATAATACCATTGTAAATTTTCCACAAACTCCAGCTTGAAGTGAGCAAATATGAAAAATGGTCAATGTGGGCAGGGCTACAGTCGAGATAAATTTCTCTGTCAGGGTTTTGTCCCTTCTCCTTTTGCCCAATCAATGCCACAGTGTGTACATGGAGGGTAAGGGGTAGAGGAGAATTCACAGCAGTACAAACTGGACACTATACCACTTTACATTGGTCGGATCTAGAAAGAAAATCTTTATTTAGCATAAATCAAATAATACAATTTGCCTTTGTGTGTCAACAATCCTTCAAAATCGTCTCAGTTTCAGATGAAGCAATTCAACAAATGTTATCCGAGCCTGTTTTGGGGAAGTCCATTGACAACTTGATGGTTAGCGTGCCGAGAAATGGGGATCCTAAGGCCATGAAAGGTTTCTTGCTAGACCAAGACCAAGGCAGCTGCTACTCTTGAATTGCCCTCTTGCATAGTGCATTTAGTCTAGGAAACTTTAGCATCACTTATATTTCAATAGACCCAACATTTATAAATTCTGCTTCAACTGGAAACCATCTGACTGTAAGGCTGTAGTATTCTCTCTCTAGACACGTCCAGTTTTCCTGTTATTTTAATCAGAGGTTTTGATGACTCAAACCCTGAATGAGATTCTCGGTGCTTGTCTGCAACTGTTTGGTGTTTCATTCTCCTTTACTGCAGCCATTTCATGTTTACTTCTTTCCCGTTTGTTCCTCGTCTTCCTTAATGTAGGCCTTGAGCATCTCTGAGCGCTTGGCAGCCTGGCGTTCCTCGCGACGCTTGCGTGCTTCCTTCGTCTTCTGCCGACGGGCCTCAGCTTGGTCTCTGATTGGTGAAAATGGGACAAAAGGCCATTCAAAATTCATTTAGAGTTTTCAAAACCAAGCCTGGGAGGTCTTGGGAGTCAAATGGACCAGACAGCATGTCGGTCTGAATTTCATTTGTGACATGGATGACAGTGTGATGACTGATTTTATTCTTCAAAACGGCACAACTAATAAGGGTCCTCCTATGAGAACATTATGGTAAAATGCATTCTGAACTGTAAAATGGATTTGAAACTAATATCTCTGAAGCACAATTATTCTCAACTCCTCAGAAATATCGAAGATGCTCTGCGAGTGGCCACAAAACAACTTTAAAAACTTCACATCAAAATGAAGAATATCTGCAAAAAGAATTATTGCCATACGGACAAGTTTTCTTTGATGGTGATTGTGGGGGGGGGGCACTGCTTAAAGTAGAGATGATGCCATCACGGACCACAGCAAAGTTAACCACGGCAGTAGATTAGGGCTCTGGTGAGCATCCAATTGAGCTTTGCGTTTTGGACTTTTAATTGGAAAATCAGCAATAAACATTTCCTGAGGTAAATTTGCAAAAATTCTATTTTTGGTAGTAAAACCACATTCTAAGCCTTAGTTCAAGTTGTTGAGAGAAGTTCAAAGGCAGCTGATCAACAGGCCAAAAAATTACTTCTGCTCCCACTTATAAACTGATTCAACTTTATATCACCAACTTTAAAAAATGAAGTTGACTCCTTGGCAACTCAAGAAAGTTTACTTGTTTTAAAGACACTTAATTCTCGAAATTTTTCATGCCAAGAACAATTTTAACAAAAACTGTTCTTTTTCTTGGTTTCTGACACAATTGCTGTCTTTCAGGGCGTCATCATGGAATTTGGCATTTAGGGGTCATCCTTTTTTGTCATCACTTTCGCAAGCATACTCGCCCACTAAAAGAGTACAGAATAAAATGATGAATTCTCTGTGCTGCCTCAGGACCCATTCTAACTCACAATGTATGGCTGTTAACCACTTTCTGCTGGGCGAAACGTTTTTGGGTACATAGGCTTTACATGCAGAGCCGGGGAGCCCGGAACTGGGACAAAAGAGTTGGGCCTTATAACAAAAGACTGTGCTCAGCACAAAAGACTGAGCTGCCGGGCATAAGGACATTTTTTCACTCTAAATAGTGGAGATAATCCAGCCTTGCTTTGAAACAGTATACCATGGTTCCAGGCATTTAGAGGGAGCGGATTACCACCCAGGACAAAAGCTCTCCACCACCACAGTGATGAGCCACACAGCACTGCTGCATGCTAATCTGGCTCCTATTGAAAAGTGGTCAGCAGTGCACTGTGCCAGTTTCGGGAACAAAGGACTCTTACGTAACACCGCACGATCTGGGCTCTATTTCCAAGGCTGCACGCCTGGCTGAAATATTCAGGAGTCAATGAATTTCACCTGTCAGCTTTAGAGTAGTGCTGAAAGAGTCCTTCATTTTCGTATAAACGGCCATTACATGAAATGATGAATTTTTGAAGAATTTTGAAAACGGAAAATCTTGAAAATGACTCAGCATCTTGTCTTGCCCAAGAAAAATCCACCCGGCAGCAAAAGGTTAATGTGCAGTAGACGGTCAGAGAATACTTGAAGGAGGAAAAACAACGTCCATGACAGGCCTTGACATTTGCAGTTGTCAGATTGCCCTGGCATTTTTCTTCTTTCAGTTCGGGAAGTAAAAATTCAGGACAAATTGCCCAATGGACAGGTACTTTTTTCTGAAAATAAAAGTGTCAATTTTTGTGGCCAAGAACAGCAGTCAGCAAATGTACCTTTAATTTTTTCCGCTTCACAAAAGCTTATAAAAAGTGGTAAAAAGTATAGACCTATGTGGCTACAATGATTTTTTGCATCGTTAAGTAGATGTACATGTACAAACTTGCATGTATTAAGCATGCTGTGCATTTAGCAGGGCACCTTTCCACACAAGGAAAAATGCGTACATAAATAAACTGTAAAATACCCTTGTGTCTGGGTACCAAATCTCACTGAATGCACGGCGCAACAGAACTTTGGGGGAAGCTTAAAGACTGTTTCACACATGGCTGTGAATTCAACATCAGTGAATTCTGCCTGGTGTGTGTACTTTTTTCATACATGACACCAGGCAAAATCGTTGAATGGTTAGAAATGGCCATTGCCTAAGCTTGTATGAATGATGCATCAGAGTCCTGCGCACTCTCTACTCACACGCAATATAATAGTTGGGGGTGATAGTTGGCCGAATTATGATAATCGTCATTTTTAACGTTTCATGTTTCTAAATCGTACACAACCAATTCATCCCCTCCCCCCAGCGTACGGTTTGTACGCTCGTGAAAATGATGACAAAAATGGACGACCCCTTATAGAACAGAATATTCCATCAAATTGAAAGGTGAACATTAAACTACTGAATTGTTTAAACTGACAGAGCCCTAGAGTAGGTTCCTTACTGTAGGAGCTTGGTGCGTGTCTTCTCGGCCTTCTTCTTGTGGATGAACTCCATCAGGACACGCTTGTTCTTGAAGACGTTGCCCTTAGCCTTCATGTACAGATTGTGGTAACTGTCAGGAGTGAGACCACAAATCCATTTTGTTAAAATCAGAATTGTGCGGGTCAGCATCCAGCAAACACCGTACATGTGCATACCGAATGGCCAACCAAATGGGCAGTTGGTGCGTTTACAGCCACAGGGTTCCAGCTGGTTGATTTCATATAACCAGAGCTTGACATGTACATTCTTGCCATAGACCTTTTCATGCTGAGCTGAATACAATTTTTTCTCGCCAACTGCTCAGGATTAATCAATTCAAACTTCAGAAAACTTGGACGGACGAACACAAAACAGACACAAGAACAAAAACACATGGACAGTTGGACCAAGACAGAGCCCAAGAATGAACTTGCACACTAGAAATGCATGCCTCTATTATCAGAGAACACCACGAATAACTATTGCTGAAAGACCAAATGAGAAGCAAGCTGTGTCAGATACTGGGAGATAAGAGCTCTTTTATTGGCATGCTTGAATCAACCCACAGATGAGAAAAATGTATTAGATTTGTCTTTGTTGTTCCAGAGACAAGGCCTACCAAAATGAAGTGTTTTTATACGAGTATGAAGTACTAGTAAAGACATAAACTGGGTGTCTAAGTAACCATTGAGCTTTTGGCAACACTGGCAACAGACACCCTAGTCTGCATTTTTTTTGCAAGTGCAGGAGAGAGGAAAGTGTATGTAACAGAATGACTCAGGTATGTTAATCATGTAATGTAAATCGTATAATGCCTATTTTAACTTCTTCTCTGCTAGACAGACAACTCCTGCTCTAAGCCAAAAGACGACTTTTCCTTCCGTGATAGTAAGCATTAACCCTAACAATCCCTAACCAGTCAAACTTCAAAACCTGTAAGGTGTTTGACTTTGTGAAATTAGGTACTGGGAACTTGCTACATGGTGTTGGATTTTGACTGAATAGGTACTGTCAGCCTGCACTTACCCTGTGGAATTTTGACTGAATGGGTACTGAGGCCCTCTCACTTTTTACCATCAGGAATTTTAAATGAGTACTGTAGTTTTAAAGATTATCTAATGATAGAAAGCTTCCCATTGAAATGGTAAGTATGTAATATGTAATATTATGTAATACATGTAATTACCATAACAAGGACAATCTTCCTTGTTTCTTACCACAATGATCCCAGCAGTTGGGGATGGTGTTGCAGCATGATGGTGTGTGAGTTTGTTTGAATAGGCACTGCCTGTTCATACTCTTTGTACTGTGCAATGGGCCTGCTGTACCCAGTTAAACAAACTCACACGGGTAAAGACCTGCTGGAGTTTGTCTGATTGGGTACTGTTGCAGCAAGAGTACTGTTGGAGTCTGTGTGATTGGGTACTGTTAAAAATAGGAGTTTGATTTCAAGGTGTTGGTGTTTGTGTGACTAGGGAGGGACACAAACAACAGTCCTTGGGCAGTTAAGGTTGAGAAGAATCTCACAGCTTGGAACATTCCAGTTCCTTTCAAAATGTTCCCTCTCAAAATGAAAACTTGTATCACCTGAGAATGCGCTTGTTTGGTTGCAACAAGCTGTTCCCACATGAGATCATAGCTGAACAAACATGGTAATTGTTACAAGAAGCTAGCGCAAACTTTTCTCAACGTTCTCCACAAGATAAAGGCTAATGTCGGGTAAGAGCTGCCAACAGTCCCAGTGCTTCAGTCCAATAATTTTTAATATCCTCCTTTACAGGAAATCCTGCTGCTGAAGATTGTATCTTAAAATGATAGAATGTCAACAGACAGACAAGAACCCACTTACAGATGGCGGTCAATCTTCTTTGCTTCCCGGTACTTCTTGAGAAGTCGTCTAAGCACACGCATCCTTCGGATCCAGATGACCTTCTGTGGCATACGGGCATTAGCCGTACCCTTCCTCTTACCTGACAAACAGTACAGAATCACAAATGTTTTCAAAATACTGCACAGCTCCAAGCACTACACATGTCCCAATCTGCATCATTCTACAAATGCATTAGGGATAAGGCAGCAGGGGATAATGCTGTGGCATTCTGGTTGATCAGACAAAATGTTGTGTGACTGGATCCAACAAAATGACTTTGAAGGCCACATTTTCAGTACTTTGTGTTTGGTTTGATCTTTGTTTTGAGCAAATTCAAACTGATTTACTCTGTGCAAAACTCTTTGAATCCCTAAGTATAACACCATCTAAAAGCCGTCAATGCCTGAAACCTGCTGAGTGAAGTATGACCGAACACAATGCCTTGTCCCTAAGCCAAGCAGCCTGAGAGTCATGGCCTGCCTGTTAACAAAGTGACAGCGTTTAATGGGATTAGCTACGACTCTCTCAGAATTCCTAAGTTATGCTGCTGCTGACAAACCCATGCAAAAGAAATGTCAACTTGTACATTGTTGCGTCCAGCACCTTAGGATGAATGTAGTCACAGAAAAAATACAGAATGCGAGACAGATTTTGTCCATTACTTCTCATTTCTATCCCCATACATGTTCAAAAATGAAGCGCATTCAGCCCAATTTAAGTAACGTCCCAGAGGAATTGTTCCAGTGAAATGCCAAAGGTCAAAGATTTCCGAGTTTAATGTAGATATACATGCTGCCGCCTACACGTATGAGACCCTTGATGTCATTAGGGTCAGTAAAATAGGCAAAGAGGACTTCGCAAAGTATGTTGATCTGATGGTGCTTTTATTCCGTAATGAGTGCGGGAAAAGGAACAGTATCGATAAGGTGCCCCCCTGACCATGGCTAGCAATAGAACGACGTCAGCTGTGGGCCCGCAAAGGATCCTTTCAAATGACTGGTTGCAAGCTTCCTGGATAATAATGTTATTTAAATGAAAATGGATTTAAGATTAACGGGGGTATACGTTTTCCGTGACACATACATGACATTTTTCGGAAGTGCTCTTGTATGCACGATACACACAGAGCAGTACACATGAGTGAAGTAATCAGCACAGGGACAAGGATTCTGTCATTGAGAACACTCTCTATGAGTTGATTATTTTGCACGCACTAAATGTACAGTGACGTTGCCTGCCTGGCTACGAACACAAGACGAAAACAATCCAGGCAATATTCAGCACAGAATGAGGCTACAGGCCTCACGTACATATACACCGGGCTTGGGGACTCGTGCTTAACCCTAACCCCCTAGAAACCCTCTAAAATATGCCAAAATCCTCCAACTTGTGGGGGGGGGGTGTGAAAAAATTGGATTCTTCCTCAATCCTCCAAAATCTCTTGAAAATGTTACTTTTTAAGGTGTGCTTATTGCCTCCATCATCCTCCTCTGGCAATATCTGTCACTATGCTGAGGCAGTGCGAATGGCAACTCAACATTCAAAAGAATATCGGGCAGAATTTACGCATGACTATTAAGCAAAAACAACACAAGGTCTAACCCACTACCTTCACGCATGGCATCCTTTGCAATAAGCCATGCACTTTTGCCATTCATCCTCATTCCTCCGAAATCCTCCAAAAACCACCCAAAGGATGTTGGAGGATTGAGGAGGTTTACGGTTAAGCCACTCCATGTTATCTCTACTTTCTCAGCACTGACCTGTGCCGCTGTGTCGGCCTTTGCGCCGGGCCAAGTTGTTCTTGCGGACGCGGGCCCTGGAATGGACAGCCACTGGTTTCCGAATGATCAGACCATCTTTGACAAGCTTGCGGATATTCTGACCTGGGGGTAGTATATAGCCACAAGCATGAAATTAGCAAACTAAGCCAAAGCTGGATGAAAGCCCTCCAATAGGCACTATTGGATGGTCGACTTTATCCACACAGAAGTCAAATTAAACTGAAAATAAGGTTAAACTCTTTATTTTGGGAAGTAGAAAGTAAAAATGAAATTAAATTTCTTTTTAACGTCACTTTTTGCATTAATTTTTTCATATACGGCTTTTTTACCCTTAATCGACCTATCCTTATAAACCTGTGTACTCATTGTTGTCTGGGCACTTGTAAAACAATTTGTAAGCTTCAATTGGTGGGACTTCGACTTGAGTAAGTTTGTGAACAGTCATGAATTAAACTTCATGTATTACTCTTCAAACACCAAGAGCTGTGTAAGAATCTACAGCACACTTGCAAGTATGGGAAGAGGGAGGGAAGGGGAACACAAGAAGTGATAACGGCAAAACAGAATACATTATCTTACGTGAGTTTGCATTAGCAATCTCGTTGATCTCGTTGGGATCCAACCAGACCTTGTTCTTGCCACAGCTTAGCACACTGGATGCTAAGCGCTTCTGCAGCCTTAGATTACTGTGAATGAATAAGAAACAACATTATCACACTCCGTGAAATCTGCATGATGAATAAGACATCTGCACTGGTAGGCAGGAGGTCGTGGGTTCGGGTCCCACCCGAGTAAGCTTGTGAGGTTTTTTCGCAAGCTCTCGGACAAGCACTGAGCATTCAGTGCTTATTAAT